CCTAGCACTTTGAGAGGCCAAGGCAGGCAGATGGCTTGAGCCCAAGGAATTTAAGACCAGCATGGGCAATATAGCAAGACCCTGTCTCCACAGAAAATACAAAAATTAGCCAAGTGTGTAGTGCCAGCTACTCAGGAGGCTTAGATGGCAAAATCACCTAAGCCCAGGGAGGTCGAGGCTGCAGGAGCTGAGATGCCACCATTGCACTCAGCCCGGATGACAGAGCGGGACCCTGTCTAAAAAACCAACTACAAGGCAGGCCTCAGTGGCTCACGCTTGTAATCCCAGAACTTTGGGAGGCCGAGCCACGTGTATCCTTGAGGTCAGGAGTTTGAGACCATCCTGTCCAACATGGTGAAACCCCGTCTCTACTAAAAATAGAAAAATTAGCTGGGTGAGGTGGTGCGTGCCTGTAATCCCAGCTACTTGGGACGCTGAAGCAGGAGAATTGCAAGAACCTGGGATGCAGAGGCTGGAGTGCAATGGGGTGAGCTGAGGTCATGCCATTGCACTCCAGCCTGGGGGACAAGAGCGAAACTCCGTCTCCAAAAACAAAAACAACCACAACAATAACAAGGGCTCTGCACGTGGCGGAAAACAACAGAAATGTATTGACTCACAGGCCTGGATGCTAGAAGTCCAAAATCGAGGTGGCGGCCAAGCTGCGCTCTCTTTGAAACCTGCTGGGGGGAATCCTTCGTCGCTGCTTCTGCTTTCTGGTGGCTGCCAGCAATGCTCGGTGTTCCTCATAGAGCCATCACTCCAATCTCTGCTCTCCCATCACAGGGCTGCCTTCTCCCTGTGTCTCTGTCTTCACCTGGCATTCTCCTATTTTATTTTTGAGATGGAGTTTCATTCTGTCTCCCAGGCTGGAGTGTAGTGGCACAATCTTGGCTCACTGCAACCTCTGACTCCCTGGTTCAAGTGATTCTCCTGCCTCAGACTCCCCAGTAGCTGGGATTACAGGTACCTACCACCACCCCCGGCTACTGTGTGTATTTTTAGTAGAGACAGGGTTTCACCATGTTGGCCAGGCTGGTCTCGAACTCCTGACCTCAAGTGATCTGCTCACCTAAGCCTGCCAAAGCACTGAGATTATAGGAATGAGTACCATGCCCAGCCCTCATTCTCTTCTGTTATAAGGACTCCAGTCATTGCATCTGCCCCTGCTGCAGACCCCAATCCAGTATGACTCATCGTTACTTGATTACATCCACAAAGCCCTATTTCCAAATAAGGTCACATTCCTGGGTACCGAGGATTAAGGTTTCCAATTTATCTCTTAGGAGATACAATTTTTTTTTTTTTTTTTTTTTTTTGAGACAGGGCCTCACTCTGTCACCCAGGCTGGAGTACAGTGGTATGATTATAGCTCACTGCAGCCTCAAACTCCCGGGCTCATGGGATCCCCTGCCCTCAGCCTCCCAAGTAGCTGAGACTACAGGCACACATCACCATGCTCAACTAATTTTTTTATTTTTTATACAGATTAGGTCTCACTCTGATGCCCAGGCTGGTCTCCTGACATCGAGTGATCCTCTTGCAAAGCACTGGGATTACAGGCATTATCCCACACCTGGCCCTCTTTCTACATCTCAATCAGTGTATCATTAGCCTGAGCTGCCCGTATTCCTTATTCTGCCCATCCCTACCAATCTCCTACTTTAATAGCTTCCATCTCGATATCATGGGGCCTGCTGAGCACTGCAAACAGCCTAAGGACAGTGGAAACTTTACTTAACCTTAAATTCTATTACAAAGTCCACATTGAACGTAATTTATATTTGAACTATAAAAATTTTCTGTAAGTTGAAACATGACCTATAAAGGTCTCTACACCCTGAAGCAATGTTCTAGAAAGAAATCAATTGGTCCTTTTCTACAGCAACCATTTACCATAGGAGAGATAAAGGAAAAACTTCAATGTACTGATTGAACTTTCATGCCCACAGCTTAATTTCTAAAAGGCAACCATTCCATACCATTAAAATGCCTTAGGTTGTTATTACTCTTATTAAAGAAAGCCTCAAAGCCACAAGTTGAATCTTTACCGTAGTTCTGGCACGTACATACCCACTCTTGCAACTGAAACCAGATCGTCCTAACGCTGCTCTCCAGAGCAACACCACCTGGAATTTTACTTTTTAAGCATCAGTCCTAATCTTCACTTGCACCTGAACACACCGCACCTGTGAGATCCACGTGACATTAAAAATCCCTTCGGCGCCCTGATCCTTGAAGGTTCAGATCCAAGATAGCTAACCTTTGTACCTCTACAGGACCCGCACACCAAGACAAAGATTTCTTCTCAGGCGGGTGCAATGGCTCATATCTGTAATCCCAGCACTTTGGGAGGCTGAGGCAGGCAGATCTCCTGAGGTCAGGAGTTTGAGACCAGCCTGACCAACATGGAGAAACCTCCGTCTCTACTAAAAATACAAAAATAGCTGGATGTGGTAGTGGGTGCCTGTAATCCCAGCTCCTCGGGAGGATGAGGCAGGAGAATCGTTTGAACCCAGGAGGCAGAAGTTTCAATGAGCTGAGATCATGCCATCACACTCCAGCCTGGACCAAAAAAGTGAAATTCGGTCTCAAAAAAAAAAAAAAAATTCTTCTCTGTGCATGGCTCAGCTCTTTGGTCTGCTAAGGTCCTTCCTCAATCTGCTTCCCATCTATGGCATCAGGAAAGACTGAATCAGCCTAGATTTACTAATATTTTAGGGTAACATCATATAGTGTTACTATGGCATTGACCGTATTACGTCCTTTTGCTCCTTGGAGGAAAGACAATTAATAGCTATTAAGTGAGTTAATAAAATAAGCCCGGGATTTATGAGTGTAACTAACCTGTTCCCATTGGTTGTCCTTGTCTCCTGCAGGCAGAGAGCTGATCAAAACAACAAAAGCAAAGCAGTGCCCCCAGCCCAGCTCTGAAGCCAACTTTCCTTAATCACCCAGACCCATCCCTGGTTAGGACTTGCTGTGGATTCTCAGGTGACTTCATCTCAGGATATAGGGACTGAGAAGGTGTATGTAACAACATCTCAGACTCAGAAACCATCGACTCTGTCTAAAAACACAACAATAACAACATCTCACCCTCTTTATTTAAATGAAAGTGTTTGGGAAATAAAAGATGAACCTCTTTTTTTTCTTTGTCAGATCTTGCGCTCATTTGGTTCTGGTGGAGAACAACAGATAGGAGAGAACAATTGTATTCAATTAGAATTAATTCCCCTCTCTTATTCTCATAGCTGAGCAGGGCTCAAGTGCCTCTCATCTGAAAGAGGTAATCAGATTTAATCTGTCTCCTCATCTACCTTCTGCAAGTATATTTAACAAATTAGCTCTCAGGACTCTTCCAAACGGAGTTTTATGAGGGATTTGCTAAGGTAAACGTTTTAGACTTTGAACGCAGTTCAGATTTCGGGGGCAGTACTGAAATTTGAACTGTGTTGCTAACTGCCCTGCCTTTCAACTCAAGACACAGTAACTTTAAACTAATAGAAGTACGGGTTTTTACTGCTGTTCTTTTCCACTCTGTCCCCACCTCCCTATCACCACCACCCCCATCCCAACCTGCAGGAGCTAGCTCCTCCTCTTCCCTCGGATTCCTCTCCCTACAAGATCAAAACTCCTCCTGGAAGCCCCCCTAGCTCTGTGTGCTCACCTTCGTGGCAGATATCGCTATCGTACTTTTATATTTATTTGTGTGATAATTACTTCAATGTCTACTTCTCCCACGAGCCCGAGCCCCTGGAGGGCCTAGACCACACCTGGTTTTTCTCACTGTTAATCTCCCTTGCCAGGCACATTGTAGGCGCTTAAGTATTTGGTGAACAAATGGCTTGTTGAGTGACGCTCCAAAGGCTGGGGGACAGGGGGAATGCTCCCTCCCGCCGGGCCCCAGAGGGCTGGAGCTGATGGGGAGGGGCTAGAATAAGCCCTCCCAGACCGAATCGCGCGCCCCTTTGGCCGCCGCCAAAAAGACCTTCCTGCAGACGCAGTAACTTCGAGAGTGATTAAGTCGGCCCAAGGTCCGACCCGACGATCCCAGGGACCCTAGCTCTAACTGGGCCCGCCTCCCGGGCCCCAAAACCGGACTCGGCCCCGCCCGAAGCTCCTCATCCTGGGGCCCGAGCACAGCCCCGCTCCCGGGACTGCCTCAAGCCCACCCCAGGTAACACTTCACGAACTTGAGCCACACCCTGGACACCTCGCTCAGTCTCGGCCCCACCCCAACCCCAGCTGCGTCTCGGCCGCTGAGCCCAGCCCCGACACGCCTCCCAGGACCTGGGCCCCGCCCCACGCCGGCCCCTTTCTAAGCTCCGCCTCCCGGGGGGGGAGCCCGAGCAGCGCCTGGCCACGCCCCAGTGCCCGCCTCCCGAGCGCAGCCCGCAGCCCGGACTCGGCGCGTCCCTAAGCTCCACCTCCCAGAGCCGGAGCAGCGCACGGCCGCGTACTAAGACCCAGTGTACGCCCCGCCCCGGGCGGCCCCGCCTCCTGAGCCTTTCTCTAAGTCGGCCTTTGGCCCCGTCCAGAGACCTGTGTACAGGGCTCTGCTCCGAGTCCCGCCTCCTGGATGCAATGATCGTTTAGCCACGCCCGAATCCCCGCCTCCAGGACCTTCATCCTGGCCCCACGCAAGGCCCCGCCTCCAAGAGGCCTCCAATTTGGATGCTTCCGAAGCCCCGCTTCCAGGATTCCCCTATCTTGGCCCAGCCCCAGGACCCGCCAAGCTGGTCTCCCCCCCAGACCCACCGAAACGACGCTTATCCCGGCCCTAACCCGGGCCTCGCCCTCAGACGCTCATCCTGGCCCCGCCCCGGCCCCGCCCTCACGTCGTTCATCCTGGCCCCGCCCCGGCCCCGCCCTCTCCCCTTCCTCCTGACGCTCATCCTGGCCTCGCCCCAGGGCCCGTCCCCGCGACGCTCGTCCTGGCCCGACCCCGGGCTCCGCCCACAGACGCTCATCCTGGCCCCGCCCCAGGCCCCGCCTCTCGGCCCCGGCGCACTGCTCCGGGCCCGCCTTCTCGCCTCCCAGGGGTTCCTCCCGGTCTGCAGGCTACGCTGCCGCGCCCAGGTCATGGCGCCCGAAGAGAGCGCGGGGACCGAACTCCTGCTACAGAGTTTCGAGCGCCGCTTCCTGGCCGCGCGCGCACTGCGTTCTTTTCCCTGGCAGGTGGGCGGCGGAGCGCGCGGGAGTCCAGGGGCAGACGGGACGGGTCTCTGTGCTGAAGCCCCCGGCGCTCCCGCCACGTGAGTGCCCGGGCCCCCGCTGGTCAGGGCCGCGCGTCCTGGTCCCGGTCCCCGGGGCCTCGCCGGAGCTGCTCGCACCCCTCCCGCCCCGCGAGCTGGCGGCGGAGGCCGGGGGAGTCTGTACGGCCTTGCGGGTGGCAGACTCGCGCTCGAGGTCGGGGACAGTTCACGATCCTTTTCACTTGTTAAAGCCAGTGTCGTTCTGGTCACTGGGACACAGCTGCCCTCGCCCATTATAAAAAGTCAGTGCTCTGAGGACCGCGGGAAACCACGTCCTCCTAGCGCGGTGACCAGGTCACAGGCTGTCCCTTGTGCCTCAGTGATCTCATCTGTATATCGAGCATTGCACAGAATCTGCCCAGACGCTGAGGCTCTCAGGCCTGTGATGGAAGAGAGAAGGGGGTGGCCTCCCGTCGCCCTGGAGACCTGCCATTCTCAGCACAGGTGCACGGCAGGCAGCACCCTCTCTTCTGCCAACACAGGGGCTTAATGCACTCGGCCTCATTTGTAATTCATGTGCGGTGATCTCACTGGGATGAGTCAGTTTGGATGTATATTCCTCCCTAGGTCTGCCCCATCTTACCGGGTAGTGCTTAATCATTTGTGTTATTCCACTGACCTAAAATATTTAGCACTCAGAGATCATTTCCGGTCTGGAGGAAAATGTGCATTTCTAACCCAAAATGGAAACCTTCATAATAGCATCATCGGTCTCCACTCACTATTGACAATAATTGTTCACATGCCCATGCTGAATGCTAACTTAGGCTCACACTCAACACCCATGAGATGGGTACTATTATTTATCACTCACATTTGGCCAGAGGGATTGTTTAGAGTGCAGTAGTTGAGAGTTCAGACCCAGGAGACACAGCCTACCTGCTTCGAATCCTGACCCTGTGTGGCCTTGGGCAAGTGACTGCATCTCTCTGTGCTGTTGTTTTCTTATTAGTAAAATAGGGGATATCATGATACCTACCCTCTTAGAGTTGTTATCAGGGTTGAGTACAAAAGCCTGCGGATCAGTGCCTAGCTCACGGTAATTGCATGTCAGTGTTAGCTAGTGTTTTTATTCAGTCTCCAGATGTTTAATAAATGCCTTCCATAAGCCAGGCCACAAAGATCAGCAGTACCCATGACAGATGAGGCTCTGCTTGCATAGGAGAGCCAGAGAATCAACAAATAAATGAATAAACAAGAAAACACCAAATGAGAGTGGCTTTAAAGCCAATAAAACAAGGAGAAGGTTAATGGAGCAACTGGGGAGAAGAGTCACCAAAGTAGAGAAATCAGGGAAGGCTTCCCCAAAGAGGCGACATTTGAACTGGGGCCTGAGTGGTGAAGCAGCCGGCCATGGGAAGGGCTTGGGGAGTAACAGGATATGCAGAGGCCCTGTGGTGGGAACAAGCCAGCTGTGGTTGAGGAACAGCAAGGGGGCCAGTGTGGCTGCAGTGGAGTGAAGAGGGATGGGCCAGCAGTGGGGGAGAACAGGTCCAAGACAGGTACTAGGGCCAGGTCCTCGCTCTGTGTCACATCCCGCTGAGACAGTCTGTGGAACTCGGGAGCCTAAGCTCACTGCTGTTCTCCAGACCCCTGTAAGAGGACAGCATAACCCAGGCTGCTATGGGCACATTCTCCGTTTCCACTTTAATTCAGATGGCAAGCCCATCGAACCTTGGTGCCCTGGCTCCGCTGCTAATTCCCGGCTGACCAGTGCAACCAGAGAGCTGGCCCGTGACCCAGGTGGAGGCTAAGTAGCCAGGACTAATGTGACCAAGAGTCAGACTTCTTGTGACTCATCCAAGTGCACCCTGCAACATGTGAAGGTCAGGCTTTCAGGCGCTGTGGCGTCCACTTCCAACTGGTTCTACGTCCCCAGGGAGAGATCACTTAGCGCTTTGCCAACACATTCTATTGCGTGTTTAATGTTCCTGTGAATACGCCCTTGAGATTTCTCTCTCTCCCCTCCACACAGAGCTTAGAAGCAAAATTAAGAGACTCATCAGATTCTGAGCTGCTGCGGGCTATTTTGCAGAAGGTAAGAACCCCAGAGTTCCTGGGACTCATGACCCTGCCTCCTGACTCTCCCAGGAAGACCTGCCAGAAGAACCACAGGTGTGCTTGTACCCTTTAGAAACACCCCTGTTCAAAGAACAGAACCATTGAGTCACCACTGCAGGTGGGTGTCAGCACCCCCGACAGCTCCAGCTCTTTTGTTTTCTAAGACTGGGACAAAGACATCAGAATATACAAAAATCTGCATGAGAGGGGGGAATCTAGGGAATGTTTTTTAACCATCCACAGCAAAAACAGAGATGACAGTTGCAAAACAGCTTCTAGCGTTTATGCTGAGCCTTTCTTTTTTGCATTCATGAGGCCTGTCCTGCCCACTCCTGTCTCTCTTCTAGACCTAGATGGGCCCTTGCTTTGCCCAGGGTAGGTTTTGGACTCAAGTGCATCTGCGTGCAGGTGAGAGGCAGGATTGCCACCCAGCCCAGCCACAGTCTGACCTTGGCCTTCTGGACCAAGTACAGATCACCCCACATCCTGGGTCTTCACCGTCCGAAGGGCCATGAGCCCTTCTGCAAAGTCAAAGCAATTGACTCCCTCCCAGAAAGAAGCGTGTCAGAAGAATACATTTTGCATACAAACTCAGGGGAGCCAGACATCCTCCACCCCCAACCACCAAGCCCATCCTAGGAGCCCCGGTTAAGAATTCTGGTGCTAGAGGTGAACCAAGATTATCCATGTGGAAAAGGTGCAGCCACAGCAGGGAAGACTTTCCGGGCAATCCAGTAGGTCAGGGCTGCGAGCCTGGAGATTCCTGAGGTTGTTATCTCGCAGCCTGCTCTGAGTTTCATGCTGAGCCTCACCCTTGTAGGTAGTGGAGCATGAAATGTAGGTAGAGCTGCTTTAAAATCCAGCACAAGGCTGGGCACGGTGGCTCACACCTGTAATTCCAGCACTTTGGGAATCTGAGGTAGGTGGATCCACCCCTAAGGTCAGGGGTTCGAGACCAGCCTGGCCAACATGGCAAAATCCCATCTCTACTAAAAATATAAAAATTAGCTGGGTGTAGTGGTAGACACCTGTAGGCCCAGCTACTCAGGAGGCTGAGGTAGGAGAATCGCTTGAACCTGGGAGGCAGAGGCTGCAGTGAGCCAAGATCATGCCACTGCACTCCAGCCTGGGCGACAGAGCCAAACTGTGTCAAAAAATAAAAATAAAAAATCCAGCACCAGCCTGAACGGCCTGTGTGTTGTGTGAGGTACTTCACTGCCCTTGGGCAGAATCTGCATCCCTCCCATCCAGCAGGCGCTGTGACTGTCCCCTCCCTCTCCCTCCAGGTGCCAATTTTGCCACCTATCCTCATGCTGCTGCAGTCCCTCTGCCCTCCCAGGTGCCAGGCCCTGGCCACCTCAGACCCTGCACCAGCTGTTCCCACTATCTGGAACTCACTCATCCTGCACTTGACTTCTCTTGGCTTTAGCTGGAGTGTCACCCTGAGAGTCCCCTCCCCCTGTCGTGTCCCCAGGGACACACGCTCCAAGACAGCAGGTGCCGAGTGGGCCTTCCCGCCTCTTCCATGGAGCCAGACAGTCGGCGACTGTCCTTACTGCAAACTCTGGTTCACGCTGGCTCCCCTGGGAGGGAGGTGATTTGGACCCATGTGCCCCGTGTTCTTGCTCAGAATCAGCATTAGAAACGCTGCCATGGCCTGCGCTGCTGCAGGGGAAACATTTTTAGGAAACAGCTTATATCTTAAGACAAACTTTCAGATGCGAGAGGGACACCTGGGGCCAGAACGCTGTGTCCATCAGCGTTCAGGATTGCTGAGGGATGGGGTACCCTGGAGTTTGGCCTCTGCTGTATTTGCCTGAAGCTCATAGGAGACTGAAGACGGGTCTCCCCAGCAATCAACATTCTGTCCTTTGTCCTAGACCGTGAAGCATCCCCTATGTGTGAAGCACCCGCCATCAGTCAAGTATGCCTGGTGCTTTCTCTCAGAGCTCATCAAAAAGGTCAGTTACAGGCAGTGTCCGCCCAGTAGCCAGACAGTGTGGCCACCAAGCAGGGACCTGGCTGGCTCCCAGGAAGGGTTCCCTCCAGCACCCTGCGTGCTGGAGCCCTGGTCCTTCCCAGGGACCCTGGGTCTGCTTTCCAAACCCTGGCATGGCAGGGGCCTCCCCAGGCAACTGGCTGCCTGGCAACTGGCTCACACCTGTAACCCCAGCACTTTGGGAGGCTGAGGCAGGCGGATCACCTGAGGTCGGGAGATCAAGACCAGCCTGGAGAAACACCGTCTCTACTAAAAAAGCAAAATTAGCTGGGCATGATGGCTCATGCCTATAATCCCAGCTACTCAGGAGCCTGAGGCAGAATTGCTTGAACCCGGCAATTCTCCTTGGAGGCAGAGGGTGCGGTGAGCTGAGATCACGCCATTGCACTCCAGCCTGGGCAACAAGAGCAAAACTCCGTCTCCAGGAAAAAAAAAAAAAAGCACCTTTTATTTTCCTCCATCTGGGACCTTTGATCCAAACACAGAGCCCTCGCCTCTGTCACGGTCACCTGGCGGCTCTCACAGAACCCTTGTCTCCAGCCCTAGACTACACCTAACCCTAACCTCTCAACACTTCTTACTGAAGGCCTGCCCATCCAGGCTTCCTACCCAGTGAACTATTTTTTTACTTTTGGAGACAAGGTCTCTGTTCCCCAGGCTGTCCTTGAATTCCTGGGCTTAAGCAGTCCCCCCATGTCAGCCCCTAGAGTAGCTGGAACTATCGGCCCACATTACCACACCCAGCGAAGTATTTTATATGCCAGCTGGCCAGTGTTATGCCATTCCATTCCATCCCAAATCTCCCCTCCAAACTCGGTGAAAATCATCTGGCCATTTTTGCAGATTAGAACGGAAGCAAACAAACTCTCACTCTGTCTGCCCCCAGCACGAGGCTGTCCACATGGAGCCTCTGGACGAGCTGTACGAGGCACTGGCGGAGATCCTGATGGCCAAGGAGTCCACCCACGGCCACCGGAGCTATTTGCTGGTATGAAAAGGGCACCCTCCTCCCCGTCACAGGCCAGACACCCTTCCTGCACAGACAAGTGAGAACATGAGTGTCGGCTCAAATCCTGGTGCACCCATTTTGCAGTCTTACACATGAGGTCCATTAAGCTCCTTCAGCCTCAGTTTCCCTGTCTGTAAATCTAGCACTTCAGCAACAGCATCTGTCGTGGGAATGTTGGGCATTTGTCCCGTAGGTGCCACACACTACCCGCTTCACAAGGACCTTGTGCCCTGTAGGGCCACAGCCCCACAGGGTCGTGGGGTATCCCCTATTGCTGTGTTGAGTCACAGGATCCGAGAAATAAAGAACACAGAAGGACTGGAAATGACAGCTGGGCTCGGTGGGCCACGCCACTTACAAGCAGAGACAGGCGAGGCCCCGAATGTCCAGAATTGTCTGTATTTATTAGGTACGAGACGGGGGAAGGGTCGTGATGAGGTCATCTATACGCTTAGTGATAGGGCATACGTAATCACGTGAGTACCAAGTGAGGGGGCCGCCCCATTAGGTCACCTAGTTAGAGAGGTGGGCCATGCGCAGTAGGGGCTGTGCCGTGCACAGTAGTAGAGGGTCGTGTACAAAAAGGGTGTCCACCCCCATTAGGCCACCGAGGCAAGGAGGTGAGCTGTGTGCAACAGATGCCGTGCGCAACAGTTCTTGTCTGGGGGCCGGAGACTTCAAAGGATTCCTGTAGAAGGATGCTGTAATCCAATGCAGTGGGAGCTGACAGTGTGCCCTCCCTAAGGTATCTTATAGGAGGAGGATTTGAGCCAGCACAGTAGCGAGAGAAGCTGACAGGGTATAGCCGCCATGGCACGATTACGCCAGAGGGGTTCGTCTCCCTCGGTTGTTCGGGGGTCTCAGGCCTGAGGCCTACTTCCACGAGAACTGGGTGCAAGGTACAGCCACTCCTTTTCAGGGGCAATAACTCTTGCTCCAAGCTGGCCATGCAGCGGGTACTGAGTGCTACCGTCTAGGCCCTGGCCTGCCACACAGCGTGTGCCCTTTCGGGCAGGGGCGCTACCGCCTGGGTCTTTGGTTCTTGTCCTGGCCTGGCTGTTTTCCCATGGACTGCATCTGCTCTGTGACTGCTCTAAGCATTCCTCCTACTACAAACTAATATATGGTTATATAGAAGGATTATATAAATCAGCATTAAATGTGTCGTACAGCTCCGACTACAATCCGTTACATGATTATATAGAAAGATTACATAAAACTAAGTATGGTTATATATATAAGCTAGATATAAGATTATATGGAACTAACAGTGATTATATAGATTATATATATAAGCTAGATATAAGCAAGCAGTAAGTTATACTTCAGGCACTAATTGTGCCTGAGGTCTGCCCAGCTCTCCTTTCTCAGTGCCCATTGAGAACGCTTGACAGGGCTGGGTGTGGTAGCTCACACCTGTAATCCCAGCACTCTGGGAGGCTGAGGTGAGCAGATGACTAGGTCAAGAGTTCAAGACCAGCCTGGCCAATATGGTGAAACCCCGCCTCTACTAAAAATACAAAAATTAGCCAGGTGTGGTGGCAGGCGCCTGTAGTCCCAGGTACTCAGGAGGTGGAGGTTGCGGTGAACCAAGATCATGCCACTGCACTCCAGCCTGGGCAGCAGAGTGAATCTTCATCTCAAAAAAAAAAAAAATTTGACAGATGCGCATTACAGGACAGCAGTTCTTTCTCACTCTCCACTGGCCTGGACAAACGCCGAGGCCTTCTGACTGGTCTTCTGGCTTCTTGTCCCACAAAAGTCCACATAGCACACAACAGCCAGAGGGACGTCTGTAATCCCAGCACCTTAGGAGGCCAAGGCAGGTGGATCACCTGAGGTCAGGAGTTCGAGACCAGCCTGGCCAACATGGTAAAATGCCATCTCCACTAAAAATACAAAAATTAGCTGGACATGGTTGCAGGCACCTGTAATCCCAGCTACTCCAGAAGCTGAGGCAGGAGAATTGCTTGAACCTGGGAGGGAGAAGTTGCAGTGAGCTGAGATCGCACCACTGCACTCCAGCCTGGGTGACATAGCAAGACTCCATCTCAAAAAAAAGAAAAGATACAAAACACAGATACAGAAAACCACACAAAGGAAATACATAGCATACTGAATCACTGCAAGGCAGCCACACCTCCATAGCCACACCTGGCCTCTGGCCACTACTGAACTGGGCTCCACCACCATAATTCCTTCATCTCAGGATTGTTCAATGAATGGATCATGTGGTGTGTGGCCTGAGATGGGCGTCTTTCGCACCACGTGATGCCCTTGAGGCCCATGCAAGCTGTTGGCGTTCTCGTTGCTAAGTAGTGATTGGTCCCACCGTGGTTTATTTGGCCACGTGGTGGATGGCTATTTGTCTTCCAAGCCACTTGTCTTCTGATCGCTGGACTAATTCTCTCACCCTCTCTTGGCACAGCCCTCCGGAGGCTCAGTCACGCTCTCCGAGAGCACAGCCATCATCTCCCACGGCACCACGGGTCTGGTCACATGGGACGCCGCCCTCTACCTTGCAGAATGGGCCATCGAGAACCCAGCAGCCTTCACTCACAGGTGACCTCAGGGCGCAGGACAGGACACCAAGGCAGGCTTGCCCTGGAGCAGTCGCAGACATGGTCTCCTTTCCTCCCCCCAGGACTGTCCTAGAGCTTGGCAGTGGCGCCGGCCTCACAGGCCTGGCCATCTGCAAGATGTGCCATCCCCGGGCTTACATCTTCAGCGACTGTCACCGCCGGGTCCTCGAGCAGCTCCGAGGGAATGTCCTTCTCAACGGCCTCTCATTAGAGGCAGATGTCACTGCCAACTCAGACAGCCCCAGGGTGACAGTGGCACAGCTGGACTGGGATGTTGCGACAGTCCCTCAGCTGTCTGCCTTCCAGCCAGATGTGGTCATTGCAGCAGGTAATGCCCAGCCCCAGGCACCCTACCCAGGCGGTGTCCTTGCAGCTCCACCCAGCTCCAGGCTCTGGGAAAAAGGAACAGGGGACACTGTAGGGCATGGACATGAGGGGGCTTCCAGAAGAATCACTCTGGGCCTCCAGGGTGACATCAGAGGACAGGGGTCCTCTTAAAGTGACCTTAAAGCCACAGCCCTGGGCCGGGCGCAGTGGCTCACACCTGTAATCCCAGCACTATGGCAGGCTGAGGAGGGTGGATCACCAGAGGTCATGAGTTCAAGACCAGCCTGGCCAACATGGTAAAACCCTGTCTATACTAAAAAATACAAAAATTGGCCAGCCAGGGGGCAGGCACCTGTAATCCCACCTAGTTGGGAGGCTGAAGCAGGAGGCTTGCTTGAACCCAGGAAGTGGAAGTTGCAGTGAGCCAAGATCAAGCCATTGCACTCCAGCCTGGAAGACAGAGCATGACTCCATATCAAAAAAAAAAAAAAAAAAAGCCACAGCCCTCTTGTTGGAGACAGGCGTACTCCCCTTGCAGTTGTTACCACATGGCTCTGTCCCTGTGGCCCTGGCTGGCTCTGTCGCAGAGCCATGCCCTGTGACCTTCAGAGATCACAGGAGGAAAATAACCTTTCTGGGACAAGGTCGGGGCCCTTGAGAGAAGGTGGTGGTTGGCTGAGCCACGGAAAACCCCTCGCCCCGCCAGCACACTCAGTCCCCTTTCTGGTCAAGCAGTGCTCTGCCTGTGGTCTTAGGTCCCAGCCCTGAAAACCACAGGCCCAGCAGTGGCCAGGGACGCTGGCCACCCCTGAAAGCCAGCAAACAAATCAACAGATGCCTGAAACACGAAGTCCATGGCAGAGTCAGGTTTTGTGTCATTCAAAGCCCTCTAGATAGGCTAAGAACCAGAGCTGGTTTTTTAAGGAACACCAGGAGTCTGGAGATTTTTTTCTTTTGCAATCTTTTTCAGCTTTCTCTCCCAAGGGTTCTCCTTTTTCATCCAAGCAATTGCTTTTCCATCTAATGGCACAAATGGTCAAATGGCATCTCACCGTTTCCTATGACCGCTGCCTCTCTGGCCTCACCCTGCTGCCGTGGTCAGCATGACCTGGAACTTTCCGCCAGTCCCTTTCAGTAACCTGAAGCTTTTGCCATAGATGTGCTGTATTGCCCAGAGGCCATCGTGTCACTGGTCGGGGTCCTACAGAGGCTGGCTGCCTGCTGCGAGCACCAGCGGGCACCTGAGGTCTACGTGGCTTTCACCGTCCGAAACCCAGAGACATGCCAGCTGTTCACCACTGAGCTAGGTGAGCCCCCGCACCTGCCTGGGCCTGCCAGGCCACGAGCTGTCCCTGCAGGACTCCAGTGGAAGAACTGGGTGCCGAGGAATAGCTAGGATGCCCCACACCCCCATGTCATGCAGGGAACTTGGAGGCCAGTGACCAGGGAGGGCTTGGGGGATGGGTGGCTTGGGACAGGAGGAAGGCAGCTCAGCACAGAGAGGGAGGGTCTGAGCCCAGCAGTCCTACTGTGTGCTTCAGAGCAAGCTTCCCTAAGCCCTTGGGCCTCAGTTTCCTCCTCTATCACATGGAGGTGGGAGGAGAGGCAGTCGGGGTCAGGGCTGGACGAGGCTGTGGCCTGCAGGACCCCAGAGCACAGGCTGTGCAGGCGGATCCACCATGCCACTGTTCTGAGCACCCCGTTGGTGGAAGACAGGCAGGGTGACTAGAGAAGGGGAACCGGCCCCGTGTGGGCCGGCCGCTGTTCTCAGACCTGACATGTCAGCTCCAGCACCTGAGAGGGTGTGCTGTCACTGTCTCATCTCACCTGCAGAGACACTAGGGCACACGGAGGCCAAGTGACCCCCAAGCTCCTGCAGACTGCAGCCAGGCCACCTGGCTCTCGCACCTCCACACGACACCCATATCCCCCAGTGCCACCAGCCTTTGCCTCAGCCCTCCTCAGCAGGGCCCCTCCTGGCAGCCGAGTGCACAGATGCACCCGCAGCAGCCTCTGCCTGCACACAGAGACACAGACGACGCAGTGCCCGCGTCGGGCAACCGATTAACTGCAGAGCCAGTGAACAAGTCAGCACACGAAGCCACACTGGGCTCGACAACAGGGTTCTGCACAGCCTCGCACAGGAGGCCCGCCAGGCACAGGGCGTGGGATGTCACCCCAGCACCTTAGGAGGCTGAGGCGGGAGGACTACTTAAGCCCGGGAGTTCAAGACCAGCCTGGCCAACATAGTGGGACCCCATCTCCACAAAACATAGAAACTAGCGGGGCATGGTGGTGCATGCCTATAGCCCCAGCTACTTGGGAGGCTGAGGTGGGAAGATGGCTTGAGCCAGGAGGTGGAGGCTGCAGTGAGCCATGATATCACCACTGCACTCCAGCCTGTGCAACAAATCAAGACCTTATCTCAAAAAAGGGGGGCGGGGGAAAGGAAGTCTTTTCTCAGATACTTATGTGAAAAAATACCTGCAATATTTTTTTAAGTGAAAAACCAGTTCCAAATAGCACATATAAACACCCCACACACTTTTTTTTTTTTTTTTTTTTTTTTTTGAGAGAGTCTGGCTCTGTCTTCCCTAGGCTGGAGTGCAGTGGTGCCATCTCGGCCCACTGCAACCTCCTACCTCCCAGGTTCAAGCCATCCTCCCAGATCAGTCTCCTAAGTAGCTGGGACTACAGGCATGTGCCACCATGCCCAGGTAATTTTTGTATTTTTTGTAGAGTCAGGGTTTTGCCAGGTTGGCCAAGCTGGTCTCGAACTTGAGACCTCAAGTGATCTGCCCACCTCAGCTTCCCAAAGTGCTAGGATTACAGGCATGAGCCACTGCACACGGCCCCATTTTTGTTTAAAAAATAAGAATAATCAGCCACACATGGTAGTGAATGCCTGTATTCCCAACTACTCAGAAGGCCGAGGCGGGAGGATGGCTTAAGCCCAAGAATTTGTGGCCACGAGCAATACAGCAAGACTTCCTTTCAAAAAAACATTTATTACAATAACCTTCTCTACTTCAGGATAACTCTAGGGGAAAATCTGGAATACAGAGCAAGCTTGTCCAACCTGCAGCCCGACACAAATCTGTAAACTTTCTTAAAACAGTATAAGGGTTCTTTTGTTATTTTTTTTTAATTTTAGCTCATCAGCTATTGCTAGTGTTAGTATATTTTATATGCGGCCCAAGGCAATTCTTCTTCTTCCAGTGTGGCCCAGGGAAGCCAAGCGATTGGACATCCCTGATACACACCAGTTAACAGGTGCCATACTTGGATGGCAGGACTGTAGAGACTTCTACACGTTTATGTCTATATCATTTTTATAAATATGTATTTTCCATTTGTAACAAAAAACTGTGATTGAAAACCATCCCAGGTCCAATGTCACATGGCTGTAATCCCAACACTGTAAGAGGCTGAGATTTTGGGAGGCCGAGGTGGGCAGATCACTTGGGGTCAAGAGTTCGAGACCATCCTGGCCAACATGGTGAAACTCTGTCTCTACTAAAAATACAAAAATTAGCTGCGTGTGGCGATGCACACCTATAATCCCAGCTAATCAGAAAGCTGAAGCAGGAGAATCACTTGAACCCAGGTGGCGGAGGTTGCAGTGAGCCAAGATTGCACCACTGCACTCCAGCCTGGGCAACAAAGTGAAACTCTATCTCAAAAAAACAAAAAGAGAATGAGGCAGGAGGATCACTTGAGGCCATGCTTTCAGGACCCCAGCTTTACAAAATAAGTTTGGCATTGTGGCATGCACCTGTCGTCCCAGCTACTTGGGAGGTGGGAGGACTGCTTGAGCCTAGGAGTTGAGGCTGTGCTGAGCAGTGACTGTGCCACTGCATTCCAGCCTGGGCGACAGAACAAGATCGGATCTCAGAACAAATCCTTCTGGCTAATGGCTCTTCAGACATCTGTGCTGATGAGAACACCAACCCCTCCTAAGCTTTGTGGGTTTGTTTTTGTTTTTTGAGACAGAGTCTTGCTCTGTCATCCAGGCTGGAGTGCAATGGTACAATCTGAGCTCACTGTAACCTCTACCCCCTGGGTTCAAACAATTCTCCTGCTTCATTCTCCTAAGTAGCTGGGATTACAGATACCCACCATCATGCCTGCATCGTTTTTGTACTTTTAGTAGAGATGGGGTTTCACCATGTTGGCCAGGCGGATCTCGAACTCCTGACCTCAGGTAAGCCGCCCACCTTGGCCTCCCAAACTGCTGGGACTATAGGCCTGAGCCACTGCGCCCGACCACCTTCCAAGCTTTGCGAAGAGCAGGCTAGCTGAGCAGCCAGGTAGATGCAGTTCAGATCTCTGCTTCTGTCCAGCTGTGCCAAGTGCCAGGGAGGACATGGGCAGAGGGCGGAGAGGGGCACGGCATCTGCTGCCAGCCACTTCTGTGCAAAACCAGGTACCTGGTCCCACCCTGGAGGCCAATTCTAGGTACCTGGGTGGGCCTGGGAACCAGTGAACCAAGGAAACCAACTTGAACACCATTCCCCGACTCCTCACCAGGCCTGTTCTCGCAGCCCCACACAATAAACTCATTCCTGGTTCCAAACACTGCCATCCTGAAACAATGTGCTCTGTTTGTAGGCCGGGCTGGGATCAGATGGGAAGCAGAACCTCGTCACGACCAGAAACTGTTTCCCTATGAAGAACACTTGGAGATGGCAATTCTGAAACTCACACCGTAGGCCTCACACACGCTTTCCAGCATGATTCTGAGAATCCAGTCGCTATTGTGGTAAGAATTTTTACATGGGGATAAAACTTTCATTGGACTGGAATGTCTGAAGAATATTAAATTCCAAATCGGGAATCCCAGATTGCCTTCTAGTAAGATATCAGCTGTCTAAGCGTGTGCATGCCCCCTTTCTGCCAGCAGTTCTAGTTCTTAAGAAAATCACGACAGGCCAGGCACAGTGTGGCTCACGCCTGTAATCCCAGCACTTTGGGAGGCCAAGGCAGGTGGATCGTGAGGTCAAGAGTTCAAGACCACCCTGACCAACATGGTGAAAACCCCATCTCTATTAAAAATAAAAAAAAAAAAAGCCGTGTGTGGTGGCACATGCCTGTAATCCCAGCTACTCAGGAGGCTGAGGCAGAAGAATTGCTTAAATCTGGGAGGCAGAGGTTGCAGTGAGCTGAGATCATGCCGCTGCACACTCCAGCCTGGATGACAGAGCAAGACTCCCTCTCAAAAAAAAAAAAAAAGAAAGAAAATCACCATAAATCAGACATGAAAATTCTGGCTCCAAGAAAAGCATTTTCTTTGTGCAAATAAAGACGTGTGTATCAAGTATGATGTCCCCCGATGTGGACACTCAGTTCCTCACAAAGCCAGGCCTGCAGTAGCTGCCACATCTCTGGGCTTACCGTGCAGCAGGTGCTTGTTTTCAAGACAGGAATCAAGATGTTAGGAACACAGCAGAAGGCAGAAAGGCGACACCTGGAGACCAAACGCAGGACGAGGAGTACTGCAGAGGTCACGGGGAAGTCACAGAACAGGAACACGCTAGCAGCTAGCAGGAGCATGGGACATGAAGAACAGAAGAGAGGAAGTGTTTCTGAGCCTCCAAAAATCAGGGCCGACCACAGCTTCCTGGGCCACGGAACTCCTTCATTCACCAAACTGCCGTCATTTCAGCTTCTGACCACTGGGAGGCGCTGCTCAAAAGGGTTTGCCCTGAGACTCGGAAGCAGCTGCAGGGAGGGCGGCAGGGGTCGTGGGGTTTTAGCCTCTGGCCCAAGGGTCATATGTCTGTAACCAAAGGGAGCACAGTCTGCACCCAGCTCTCATCCCATCGGAGCTGCTCTGACTCCTGCAAGTTCTTCCGGAACTGGTTTAGTTTGCCCGCAGGATCAGGAAAGTTTGAGAAAAGCATCTGCAGAAAAAAAAAGAGCAGAACTTACCTCATCGCCTGTCCCCACCCCATCCCACGTCACCGTCTGGCTGACCCCAGGTTCCCGACCCAGCAACACTCCCTCCCAAGTCCCTAATTCCCTCACCCTGACTCAAGGTCCTTCACGCCCCAGCAGAGCTCTGTCTACAACTTGACACCGCGCTTTCTGGAAACTTCCCCACATGTCCCACTTTCCCACACTCGGTGTCCTGGAGCACCTCCCAGCCTCTACACTCTGTGCCCTCCCCTGCGAGCACCCTCCTTTCGGCCTTTGGCCAACACAGTCCCACCCATCTGTGAGTAAGGAGGTGATGTTGGTATTCTTTTCAGCCTTGCTAAACTGCCTAAATCAAGGATCACAAAATACTACAGCCTGTAGGCCAAATGCGGCCCACACCTGTGTTTGTAAATAAAGTTTTATTGGAACAAAGCCACACCCCTTCATCTACAGATGGTCTGTGGCTGCTTTCACACCACAACAGAGTCCCATGGTTCTGACGGAGACTGGGGACCCTAACGTAAAAGACTTCCAACCTTTACAGAAAAAGCCTGCCAATCATTCTGTTGTCAAGAATGATATGTATTACTTTCTGCAATAAGAAACAAGTATCCTGGGCAGAATCTCACCCATCTTTCAAGGCTGGTCCCAGAAGCTCCCTTCACCCACCCACCTCCCTGATCCTGATCACTTCCTAAACTGCAACCCAGCCCACCCAACTCCAGCATCATTTGTGTAGTATCAGCTCTTGTAAACAGAGGGCAGACAGGGGTGTGTCCTAACTCTCCCGAGCCTACTGTACTGAAACAGCACAGCACAGTAGGCGGGCCTGTGTGACCTCTGCTCCCTCCCTGGCTTTTCTTCCCCACATGGTCCCACCCTGGCTTCGGGAAGCAGGGATCAGGAAGGCTACCTGCAGCTGAGCTGCCAGTTCCTCTGAGTTCTCGAAGATCAGGCCGTTTTCATCATGTTTCACCAGCTCATGTAAACTGCAGAGAGAACCATGGGGGTCTGAGAGCCGCCTGGAGACGACACCAGGCCCCCAGGGTGCCCACCTGGGCTCCTACCCCACCCCACACCCAGCCCAGGCTAGGGCCTGGAAGGGAGGGTTGGTTTCCTGGAGCTGATTCTGAGATCTGGCATCTGAAGGGTATAAAGGCCTGGGAGGGTGCACATCAAAATGTGCACCAATTTGAGGAGGGGGCCTTAAGAGAGGGTTTGCACCTTCTGTGCTGTACACTCTTCAAGGACTTCAGAATTATTTTTGCATTTTTTTCTTAACTCCATGTTCATAAAAAGGCAACCCCCGGGGGATGTGTTCAGCACATAAAAGATGACTTCTCTCAGGCACTAGGTTTGATCCCGACATTCCCTGAGCTCAGCTCACACGAGGGGCCCACATCCCTTAATCCCATCCAGGGGCTGGCTTGCACTGGGGCTACTGCTTCTAGAATCTAACGCCACTCTTCCCTAACACCCACCTGTGCTGGGTGGAGGGAGGCCACAGCATCACACTCATTTAACTGAGTGAGCTTGGCCAAAAGGGACATGGGGAGAGAGAAAGAAAAAAAGGAAACCATGTCAGCTTGCAGGCAATTCCATCCAATTATACTCTAGGAGCAAAAGCCCTAAGTGGACGTCTAGTATTGAAGATGCTTTTCTTCATATTAGGTTGGTGCAAAAATAATTACCTTTTTTTTTGGTAAGATGGAGTCTGGCTCTGTCACCAGGCTGGATGGAGCCCAGTGGTGCAATTTCGGCTCACTGCAATCTCCGCCTCCTCATCCCAGGTTCAAGCGATTCCCCTGCCTTAACCTCCTGAGTAGCTGGTACTACAGGAGCGTACCACCATATTCAGCTAATTTTTTGTATTTTAGTAGAGACGGGGTTTCATCATGTTGGCTAGGATGGTCTTGATCTCCTGACCTCATCCTCAGCCTCCCAAAGTGCTGGGATTACAGGCATAAGCCCCTGCACCTGGACAGTAATTGCCTTTTTTTTTAATTTTTTGAGATGGAGTCTTGCTCTGTCACCAGGCTGGAGTGCATTAGCACGATCTCAGCTCACTGCAACCTCCGCCTCCCAGGTTCAAGCAATTCTCCTGCCTCAGCCTTCTGAGTAGCTGGGACTACAGGTGCACACCACTACACCTGGCCAGTAATTGCCATTTTTAATGGGAAAAACCTCGATTACTTTTGCACCAACCTAAATATAACATGAGGTCTACATGGAAGCCAACTATTTCAGTGAGGCTCAGCCCAACCCCAGTAACCGCACGGCCTCCTGGTCATGACCGCCCGTCTGTGCTGGACTGACCGAGGGGCAGTGCCTCGCTGTGGGCAGCTCACTCTGCACTGGTTCCCCTGAGCGGCGAATCTGCCAAATCTATCCCCAGAAAGATTCGGGTGCTCCTACCACTTGAAGTTCACCGCACACACCGGCAGACAGCACCCGAACATGTCCACCACCTTCATGGGCAGGTCCAGGCCACTGGAGGACGTGTGCAGACAGACACCCAGGTCTGCCGAGCCTGCTAGGCAAGAGGGGCGGTCAGAGCGCTGGCCTCTGCCCTAGGAACACAAATCGTCCCAGCACCGTGAGGTGACACCCCCTGAGGGGAGCGAAAATCAGATAAGGCCCCCGACAGCCCCAAACACAAGTGGCTTAAGCTGGCCAAGCAGCCACACAACCTGGCTGGGACATCTGAAAACAGAAGTTGACTCACATTTTCTACATAATCACAATTTGTGGGTTTTTTTTTTTTTTTTTTTTTTAAGACAATAGTCTCGCTGTGCGACCCAGGCTGGAGTGCAATGGCGCAATCTCAGCTCACTGCAACCTCCACCTTCCAAGTTCAAGCGATTCTCCTGCCTCAGCCTCCCGAGTAACTGGGATTACAGGGGCACGCCACCACACCCAGCTAATTTTTGTATTTTTAGTAGAGGCAGGGTTTCACCACATTGGCCAGGCTGGTCTCCAACTCCTGACCTTAGGTGATCCACCCGGCTCGGCTTCCCCAGGTGCCGGGATTCCAGGCACGAGTCACCATGCCCGGCCACACAACTTATGTTAAAAGAACTCCTGGCAGTTATTGCTTAATGGATACAGAGTTTGTTTGGGGTAATGGGAAGGTTCTGGACCCGGAATGGTGGGTGATGGCTGCACAATACTGCAAACATAGTGAATGCCACTGAGCTGTACACTTAAAAATGGTTAAAACAACAAATGTTGTTATATTTTTTACCATAATAATAACAGGCCAGGACCGGGGGCTCACAGCTACAATCCCAGGACTTTGCGAGGCTGAGGCAGGCAGATCACTTGAGGTCAGGAGTGCAACACTAGCCTGGCTAGCATCGGGAAACCCCCTCTCTACTAAAAAAAATATAAAATTAGCCGAGGCTCATGGCAGGCACCTGTAATCCCGGCTACTCAGGAAGCTGAGGCTGGAGAATAGCTTGAACCCAGGAAGGCGGAGGTTGCAGTAAGCCAAGATCATGCCATTGCACTCCAGCCTGGGCAACACAGCGAGACCTTGTCTAAAAAAAAAAAAAAGAAAAAGACTGGCTAGAGAGTCCTGCAAGGCAAAGGCCCTCAGCTCCTGACTGCTCTGCTCATTCCAGGCTGGAAGATGCAGCTCGGCTCTACACACCCGAACCAAGCGCCAATTCCTGCCTCGGAGAAATCAACAGGGAAAGAGACAGAGGCAAGGGAGAACCATCTCACCAGGAGAGGCAATGCTGTTTGACACATCGTCCCTGTACCTCCCAAAGCCATTGCCCACCCACACCTGGGCAACAGTGGCCCCAACCCCAGGCCCAGCCCTCCTGCGGGAAGGAAGAGGACTGAATGGAGGACGTGGCAGGCTGAAAGGGGGAGGCCTCCTCAAGTCCCTTGGTAAACAGCCTCTGAGGCCACCTGGCAGGGAGGGGCTGGCACAC